TGGCTATTGCTACAAATATACCCCAGCGACTTAAGACTGCTTTTGTGCTCCAGGGTCACATTTGCCTCATAAAATCCTTTATTTACTGAATACAAAGACAAACCCAACTTCAAATATCCAAAATACAGCTTAAAAGAATATTTCAGGTTATTTTTTGGCTGTGAACCCCATTCACCAATGTACTCAGTGAGTCAAAATGACTGTCTGTGGGAAGATGAGCAGCAAGCCACAGATGATGTAAATAAACTTTAAGCTAAAGCTAGGATTCAAAGTCAGATGTAGGATATTCCTACGCGATATCTTCGACTTCAGACCGTAAAGACGTTCCACTGCCCTGCACTAAGAAGATAACGCATAAAGACAGAAGCTGCCATTAGCTCTCTTCCAGTCTTGGAAATTCAGTATTTCTGAGCTGAATGGAACGCTATAGTAGACATTACGCTGAATATATCTTGAATAAACTGTAATTTAAAAAGTATGCATGATGGTGCAGATGGGTTTTTGTTATTTTGTAGTCATACCTGATGATCAATAACGAACGACCGTCCACAGCAGAAACCTCCGATGGACGCCAGCGCATTCTCCATGTTGGCACTGATCAGGTCAATATCATCGATCTGAAATTAAGACAGGCATGCCATCTTTAATGAATCATTATTTACAGCCGAGTTCCTGAAACTGTAGAGAAGTTTATAATACGTACATTGACCCCAAAATGCTCTGTGACCCCTCTTCCGTATTCCCCAAGCACCCCAAAAGACATGCTCTCCTCCAGAAAGATCCGGACTTTATATTTGTACTTCAGCTTCACCTGGACAACAAAATGCAGCCATTAAAACATCAGTGCATGTGGAAAATGCAACCAGTGCAATGCATCAACAGTGGTATTTTAAAAGTAAAACCACACAGTGTTCTGACTGCTTTTAATGTGTTCTTGGTGGCTGATATGCAGGTCTATGTAAGTTTCTATTCTCCAAAAGATGGAAATCATATCCTTTAGAAAAGTAATGACATCTGTCTCACAATTTGAGGCATCAATCATCTCTGTAGCACAAAATCACCAAGTTTAATAATTAGGGTTAGTTTGATCATACCAGTGTTAATTTCGTTGACGAATAATTTGTCATAATTGTCGTCAACGACATTTTTTTCACCGACGACAACGAGATGATAACGAACTCTTTTGAATTCTCTTTTCTTTTTTTTTTACTCTTTTTGAATTCTCTTTATTTTTTTTTTACTTAACTTTTTATGACGTAAATCTATTGACATTTTCGTCAACGAATAAAAACGAGACGAAAATGTTAGGGAGGGACGATTTGGGAAGAGATTCATTCAGAACGAATCTGCTGCGTGGTTCGGAGGTTATGCGTACATATGAACCGGCGGGAAATAAGCTAACATACACTTGCTGCACGTCGCATAAAACGTAAAAAAAATGTCAATATGTGGGAGTAAGAGCAGTTATATGGATAAATCTGACAACGCAAGAGAGAACTCAATTCACTCTGACACTGAAGCACACGCACAGAAAGCGCCTCTCACAGCGCGCGAGTACTCTTTCGCATCGCATGAACGGGGAATTGCACACAAAATGATGTCGAACTGTCCGTTTTGGCGAATATTCACGTAAACACGGTTGATTACGTCTTAAGTGAACGTAAACAGCAGGGAGAACGTGTCTCAGTACATTGCATCCATTGCAGCTGTGCATTCGGTTTTAAAGGGACAGCAGCCTAATTTAGTTGCTATTGTCCGAGTCATTGATGTTAATCAAGCAACAACAGAAATACAGAAAATCACGCATTGCTCTTGACTGAAAAACTTTAGTAGTCTTAAAGATTAATCTAAATTTATTTATAGAAATAAATATGTCTGCTTGAAAGAATGAAGAATACGGTAAACAAGTTGTTATAAAGAATGCATAATTAGCCTGTATAACCACTGGTATTTCATTAAAAAGAAGACCATGTTCTTGTTCTTTATGAGAAGTGGTTTTATTTAATTTGAACATAAAGGCATGTTGTGTGTCACAGCAGTTAAATCGGTGTCTATCATGATAAAACCAATGAGTTTGGAAATTTTAGAGAAATGCTTAATAAATGCATTACACTGTAACTAAACCCATTCGATTTTAGTCGACTAAATTTACTGTAGATTTAGTCTACTAAAATCTTATGATATTTAGTCGACTAAAACAATTCAGATGACTAAAATATGACTAAAACTAAATGGCATTTTAGTCAAAAGACCATGACTAAACCTAAATATAAATTTGCTGTCAGCATTAACACTGGGTCATACAAATCCCATAAAACTTACAAAGAATCCTCTGTATATGTGAATAATAGCATAAATTAAATCTATTGAGCGATTGTGTCTCTTCAGAAGACTTGGATTAAAGTGCTTGATTCGTATGGATTTATTTTTTCATCTCTCTGTGAATGTTTTGAAGTATCAGAGTTTTGGGTGAATAGACTTTCAATGGAGGGGCAGAAATATCTTTAGATTTCATTTAAAATATCTTAATTTGTGTTTCAAAGATGAACGAAAAACAGGTTTGGAACAATGAGGTTGAGCAAATGACGACAGAAGTATCTCATGAATTCAATGTGTTACTTGCTTTTGTAATTATTTGTGAAATTTACTCAAATTTACAAACTTGTTTCAAAGTAAATCCTACACCATTTTCTTTTCAGTATAGTATTAGTAATGCTTTCCTTAGCAAACACTACAGAGTGAGATGAGATAAACTGTGTATTCAGGAAAATAAAAGTATCTTACCAGTTCAGGTAGTGGGCAAATATCTGCAGCGTTGATGTAGAGTCCCTCAACTACGATGAACCGTCTGATTACTCTCGCCTTGCGTGGATTCTATAACACACACACAAATAATAGCAATGAATGAACAAGTGTGGATACATGTGTAGTAACACATCAAACAAACAGCTGCTGCACTCAACAAGCCATGCACTTTTTCTGTTATGGGCTCTGAGTGAATGCTAGACGGTTGCTATGGTCTTTTGAGTGGTTGCTAGGGTACAGAGATCATGTAAATGTGCTTAATAAATCTTACTGCACTTTATTCAGCTGCGCATGATTTACTAAAAGTCAAGTTTGTTTTTGTAATCTCGCATCAAAAAGGAAAAATTTTCACTATTTCAAAAACATGTCTGTTCACAAAAAGGATACATGGAGAGAAAAATACTATAATAACCAATAAAGTCACTTTAAAACCCAATTGTTAAAATCGGCTACGCTTTATTTTATTGCCCTGCTGCTGCAGTGTACACAAATAAGTACTGAGTAATAATAATTAAAATATACAGTCACTTTAGTTTAGGGACCAATCCTCACTATTAACTAGGACTTTTCCCTCAATAAACTCCTAATTTGCTGCTTATTAATAGTTAGTAACGTATAGTTGTTAGGTTTAGGTATGAGGTCGGATTAAGGGATCTAGAATGTGAGCCTGGAGCACAAAAGCAGAGTTAAGTCGCTGGGGTATATTTGTAGCAATAGCCAACAATACATTGTATGGGTCAAAATTATCAATTTTTCTTTTATGCCAAAAATCATTAGGATATTGAGTAAAGATCATGCTCCATGAAGATGTTTTGCAAATTTCCTACCGTAAATATATCAAAACTTAATTTTTGATTGGTAATATGCATTGCTAAGAACTTAATTTGGACAACTTTAAAGACGATTTTCTCAATTTTTTTATTTTTTTGCACCCTCAGATTCCAGATTTTCAAATAGTTGTATCTCGACCAAATATTGTCCTATCCTAACAAATCATACATTAATGGAGAGCTTATTTATTCAGCTTTCAGCTGATGTATAAATCTCAATTTTGAGAAATTGACCATTATGACTGGTTTTGTGGTCTAGGGTCACAAATATGGTCATGCAAAATAAGGCATTAATTTGTGCTTTATAAATACTAATAAACTGCCAATATGCTAGTAATATGCATGCTAGTGAGAATTGGTCCATAAACTAAAGTGTTACCAAATGTACTTACTCCAGGGTTAGGATTAGGGTTTGGGTTTACTGTTATTAGTTAGTAAATGTAAAATAAAGTGTTACCTTAAGTCTGTATGCACATTATGTTGCAGCAGTAAATCTGTTATTAATAAGATTTCGTGTTGTGTTTATTGTATTTCTCTTGATGCCACCAGTGTGAGCTGTTGAAATCCCTCCTCACCTTCTGATCTTCGATCTCCTGCTCCTTCAGAAGGCGCTCCAGATCCTCCATATCGTTGTGTTTGAAGTACTTGACGAAGCTGCGTGAAGCCTGCAGGCCTTTCTGAATGGAGAAACAGGCCGCCTCGTCGCTGAGAAAACAAGAGAGACACACAGATCAGGACGCTTTATCATCTCTGTGGAAAGGCTGCTGGGTTCAGCAGGATCTTACACAAAGACGATGTCTCCTCTCTTGGAGTACGCTGGGATAGCGCTGGCGATGGTGGCGAAGCCGTACGAGTAGATAATGGCCTCCTCTGTTCTCATGAACTTCGCCAATCGCTCCTCTAACTCCAGATGAACATCTGTGAAACATTTCAATGCTGTAAACCGACGCAGCAACACGAGACAGACAAACACCTGAGATGATCAATCTACCGACCGAAGGTCCCATAGAAGCCTCTCGGTCCACACGTCCCCACACCGTATTTCTTCAGCGACGACAAAGCCTTCAGCTGAAAATACAAATGAACGCCACTGTAAGGCTCAGTGGATTAATGCTTGGGTTAATGCACGGAAAGACTTCAGGAACAGAATTCCATCATTTATTCACCTTTAACAAGCCTGTTCAAATTACCTTGGAATCAAAATTGTCCCCATTTACTTTTTGTGCAATACATGTTATCCGTCATATTGTACACAACTCAATGTGTGCTATTCTAATAAAAACACAGGTTTTTAATGTTTATAATGTCATATTACAACAGTAAAATATGGAAAAGTACAGTGAAAATCATTTATGTTGACTTAAAGGCATCTGGTATATCTGATATTCAGTGCAGAGTTTATATTTATGCATTTGGCAAGCACTTTTATCCAAAGCAACTTAGTCTGCATGCAAAGACATACATTTAATCAGTTTATACACTCCCTGGGAACTGAACCTACAACCTTGGTGTTGCTTGCGTCATGCTTACTGGCAAAAACTAAAAAGTTAAGCTGCTTTGGAAGCAGAACAAGTTGAAAGGTTATGATTATAGAACTGTATTTAACAAAAACAGAGACGATTTTGACTTTAACTTGTAAAATGTCAATAATTTGTACCTTACAGTGTTAAACCATACGTTTTTGTCTTCAACAGAAAAGAATCAATTCTAATCGTTTCTGTGTGCCATTATATTAGCTGAACACTTTGAAACAAAGCAACAGATTTATTTATTTAACTACCATTCATAAGTTTGTTTGTTTGTTTGGAAAGAAAGAAATTGCTTTAAAGGGGTCATATGATGCTGCTAAAAAGAACATTATTTGGTGTAATGAAATGTGTTTATGCGGTTTAAGGTTCAAAAAACACATTATTTTCCACATACTGTACATTATTGTTTCTCCTCTATGCCCCGCCTTTCTGAAACGCGTCGATTTTTACAAAGCTCATCGTTCTGAAAAGCGAGGTGTGCTCTGATTGGCCAGCTATCCAGTGCGTTGTGATTGGCCGAATACCTCAAGCGTGTGACGGAAATGTTACGCCCCTCACCATACTGTGATGCCTGCGGCAACCATATGTGATGACCCCGGGCTGGACTCCGCTTCGTCCACGGTGAAAGCCGATCCGGCGATCCACAGCGAAGCTGATGTATTTCCTCAGAGACCAGCACGGATCAGCTCCAGGCATGACGAAGCGGATATCGTCCTCTTTTGGAAGACCAAACAAAGTAGTTTCGCTTTCACAACGAAGCACAGCGTCTTCACGATATGGCGGCAACAACAATACTACAGTGAGAATAAAAGTTACGTCTTCTTTCTTTGCGTGAACATTTGGGCGGCATTATGCTAATATTCCCACATAGTGAGGTAGACATGTGGGGGCGTGTTAGAACGAGCCGTTTTAGGTAGGCGTGGCTGACTCTTAACTTTTATAAAGAATATCTCTTTGGATTTGAGACTTTAGTCTTTGCAACTTTACAGATCTTCTTTATGCACCAAGAGCTTGTAACACTCCAAAGAGAAAGGACAAATTGAAATCGCATCATATGACCCCTTTAATTAAGCAATGATGCATTATACTCATCAAAAGGACAGTACAAACATTTCAATTGTAAGAACAGATTGCAAAAATTCAGCTTTGATCACAGAAATAAATTACATTTGACAATTTATTCACATAGAAAACAGTTATTTTAAATTGTAATAATATTTCACAAAATTACTGTTTTTAATCAAATAAATGCAGCCTTGGTGAATATATATATATATATAAAAAAACATTCTTAAAAAAAATCTTACTAAATGATGCCTTCCAAATCAAATCCACCACTGACATCTTCATTCATCAAGCTGTATTTAGCATTGAAGAGCAAACTGCACACTACAATCAGCAGCAGCTGTGATGTGTGTGAATGTGACGAATGGAAAAGCGCTCGTAATGCTACAAACCTTTACACGCTCGCTGTCCAGCAGACCCAGGAAGTTAAATGAGGCAAAGTTAATGCACTCTTTCCCATTCACAATGATTCTGTGGCTTGGAGGGCTGTAAAAGAAAAACACGGCCTTCAGTCAGCATCGTTTCCACAGCACACAGCCATTATTATTCCACATGCCGCAGACAGAGCAGTTGATTTGAACAGTGCTTCAAATAAGAGGTTAATTCAGAAATGTCTCCGGCTGCTGAAGACGTACCCCGTGACCACATCATAATTGAGGGATGGATGGTCTTTTGGTACGAGGGGAACCAGCGGCTCGGGCTGCCACTCCTCAATCAACTCCTCTTTCTCCTGAGAAAGACACACAGAGATGAAGGACATGAAGGAAGAGCATGCACACTTTACTGGGGTTCTGCGGTTAGCATTAGTTACCTACATTAGTCAACATGAACTAACACTGAATTAATCTAAGATAGTGTTAACTTGCAACGCTTACTAATACATTACTAAATTCAAAAAGTGTTTCTTTTAATATCATTTAATCAATCTTATCTAATATTAACTGGCAATGAACAGTAATAAATACTGTAACAAATGTATTGCTCATTGTTAAGTCAGTTTTAGCTAATGCATTAACTAATAATAACTAATGGGACCTTATTGTAAAGTGTCACAGATTCAAAAATCAAAGTTAAATTTCTCATTTTCTGTCTTGAGGTTACTGGATCAGTTTCTGATTATCGGAATAACTACCGTTCCATGATTTCCCGAATCATATCGGGATTTAATTTTACGCATTTGTAAATTATCGTCAGTTATAAATTAATTTGCTGTTTTGATGTTATGCAGATTTTAGTTTGGTTAACTGCAACGAAGTTAATAATATAAATTAATAGTTTTAGAGTATACAACTAGAGTTAACAAACAGAACATTTATAATTCACATTAATATCTAATTAATGGAAATTGAAAAAGAGATCGTGACAGTGTGTTGCTTTACATGGATATAAAATATGCAGAATATGATATATGCCGTATTTAATATTCGTCAGTAAATGTGTATATTACCATCCAAACGTTTGGGGTCAGTAAGACTTTAAAAAATACTTTTATTCAGGACGCATGATTTTCGCTGATTAAACATGACTTTCTATTTATCAAAGTATCATTTAACAAAAAACAAAAAAGCATCACAGTTTCCACAAAAATATGAATAATCAGAAATGTTTCTGGAGCATTAAATCAGCACATTACAACGATTTCTGAGTAATGATGCTGGAAATTCAGCTTTGATCATAGGAATAAATTACAGTTTACAATATATTCCCACAGAAAACAGCTATTCTGAACTGTAATAATATTTCACAATATTCCTGTTTTTGCTGTATTTTTGATCATCTTTCAAAAACATTTAAAAAATGATATTAACCCCAAGCTTTTGAAAGGCAGTGTGCAAGGTTACTTGAATGCCGAACAGCCACAGAAACACAGAAAACACCCTTCAATTAACATCGTAAATTAACCAAATCATAAATGAGTGATATGCGATGTGCATTATGGAGCTCTCACCTTTTCTGTGAGGTCTGATCTCTCCTGAAGTTTATATGTTTTGGAAAACAGCAGTCTGATAATCCACAAAATGAGGATACCTTCTAAAATCAGATGATATGCTGGTGCCTAGAAGAGAAAACCACAGCAAGACCATAAGACAAACGGCGTCAGCTAAATAAGCGAACGTCTGATATGTTTTTAACTGGAAGATGTAGATGAGCAACATCTCTACAATGTTCTCCGTTGGATATTAAAATGACATTTAGACATTTATCATTTATAATGCGTGTGCATCTGCTCTTTTTAAGAGGTTTATCAGAAGTCTGGACACCATAATTAACCATTAAACTCTCCTTATATGACATCTTAAAGACGCATGTTGACCAGATTCGACTTATTAGTAATATTAGTGAAGTTGGCTATTTATTAGTGTCTTTATTTATCAGTCGCTTTTAATGGTGTTAGCAGTTGTGCACTGCAGCGATTATAAACACACTGAAAGATGAGTTTATTGTGGCTTTATTTCCAGTGTTGGGGGTAACGCTTTACAAGTAACGCGAGTTACGTAATCAGAATACTTTCTTCAAGTAACTAGTAAAGTAACGCCATACTTTTTCATTTACAAGAGAATATCGGAGTCACTTTTTCAAATGAGTAACGCAAGTTACTTTTTTTTATTTGTCAATGTATTGACTGACGGCTCTCCTGTCTCCATGTTGAGAGAAATCAGATGTTACTGTAGTTCTATAATTAATATGAATTATGAATATGCATTAATTCATCTCACTCACAACACAGATTCAGTATTCCTCAAAATGAATAAAAATAACGCAACTCAGAATATGACGCAAACCTGCAATAACTAAATGTTTTAAACACAAATGTCCTTTATGTATTTAATCCCATTCTGTTTGATTCTGACCTTCGATGATCCAGTTCAAGCGTACTAATAAGCACAAATTACTTTTTATTACTTTTAATAATTTGTGTGTCTTTGTTTATTGCTGAAATGTGTTGAAATGTCTTCTTCTGCATTCTACTGTACGGATGTAAATCTACTTTCCCTTCAGCCTGAGGCTCATTCACTTCACTTTTGGTGTGAAAGGCTTTTATATTTGCCAAAAATATAACTTTTTTATTTTAAAAACAAACAAGCAAGCCCTGTCCAGATTTAAAAAGTAACGCAAAAGTAACGTAACGCATTACTTTCCATAAAAAGTAACTAAGTACCGTAATTAGTTACTTTTTATGGAGTAACGCGATATTGTAACGCATTACTTTTAAAAGTAACTTTCCCCAACACGGTTTATTTCTCATATAAATCTTTACTCGCTCACACAAGTGTATATAGGGATTCCACAGTAATGAACATAGATCATACAGGTTTGGCACAGTTTAATCGCTCACTTTAACAAACAAACAGAAAACAAACGGAGCTCCAGCATTAAGTACAGACAGCAATAAACACACTTTACACCAGAATGCCGTTAAAGCCGTTCACAGTCCCCTGGAGACAGACACAAGACGAAACACCGGCTCTTGCCGTTTTTAACTCTTATTATCAACACACTTGTACAGAAGCGGTAATAAATAACTAGCTAGCTGAGTGAGTCTCCGCTGTCTGCACTTCCGGGAGCTACAGGACCGCTCCGCTGGAGAGTGCGTCAAACTGCGCCAAACACTCTCACACGGGCCGCTGCTGCTCAGACGAAAAACATCACAGTCTGTCGATAGCTCCAACAATTAAAAAACAAAAGAAGAAAGTTGTGGTTACCTCGTAAAAAGCTTGCACCATCTCTACCAACACCCACTGTTGCCCCGCCGCCATTTTGACTGAGTCGCTTCTTCTTCTTCTTCTTCTTATGATGTTTAATGGCGGTTGGCAAACCAGCTTTTGGCGCGTATCCCGCCACCTACTGGGATGGAGTGTGAGGCGACGATGTTAAAAAATGTATATTTTTTAAAATAATAAATAATAATAAAAAAGAATAAAAAATAAATAATAAAAATACTTTTTAAATAAATAAATACATAACTTAAAACAAAAAAAAACAAAAAAAAAAACGTCCACCTATATTTTATTATATAAATGTGTTATTTTCAGAAAATTAATAAGAGCTTTATAACCTTTATGAGAACTTTATAACACATTCTGACACGTGACTGCGCGCGTGATTCATATGTTTCCATAAATAAATAAAATAAATAAATCTTACGGAGTACATAATAATCTTGTACATAATCTTACATAATAATGTAGCCTGTAACATTGTACATATCAACAGTGCACACACAAACGACAGAGGAATCTTTCAAAACATTGAAACAGTGTGTGCTCACAGCCTCCGCGTATCAAGTGTGTTCGTCCTCCATTGCATTTCCCGAAACTACGCAGACTTTCTAGTCACTTTCCGTGTGAGTCTGAGACCTATGGACTGTCTCTTATCTGAAGGGACACTAACATCCAGGAGAGAGGCCTCTGTGTGTCACAAGCTGAGCTAAACGTCTACTACAGCATGGACTGAGCTCAACAAGTCTATACTGCTTATTATGCATGCCACCTTTCATATGATGTAGCCAACATTACCCTTCAAATGTCTATCATTTCAATTATGACTTTTATTCAGCCATTTAAAGTATTTATCAGAGAATCCTGACTAAATGCATCACTGTTTCCATTAAAACATTGTGCAGCACAACTGTTTTCAACATTGATAATACTCAGAAATGTTTCTTGAGCAGCAAATCAGCATATTATACTGATTTCTGAAGATCATGTGAGACTGAAGACTGGAGTAATGATGCTGGAAATACAGCTCTGATCACAGAAATACATTACAGTTTAACAGATATTACGATAGGGAAAAAAAACAGAAGCCTATATTTCACTATATTACTCTTTTGACCATATTTACAGCACTGTATAAAATAAACCCAGCCTTGATGATCATAAGAGACTTTTCATATATGTCTGAAAACTGTCGTCATTCAAGATTTTCTGACTAATCTTAATACTGTCGGTTTATTCTTCTTCTCTTTTTCCCCCACTTTTGTCCATATTAAATGCATACATTTTATTTTACACCCGAGTACATTTCTCAAATATTTTGTAAAAAGTAATAATGCATGTAAAAAATATTTATTTCGTCAGAACACATTGGGTAATCAACCAGCTGACACAATGCAAAATAGCATGGGTACCAAAAAATCTGAAGTCTGACATCGACAAAGCTGAGCTTGTTTCCCTGATGCTGAAATCCATCCACAGTAAAGCAAAGGCAGAGAGTCGATTTATTGCATGTTGGTTGACAACATTTTGCCACACGTTAAAAAATATTGCATTCAAATAAAAAACACCAGTATATAAGTAGATGGACTGTTCATCTTCTTCATCATCACAACGTCACATATCCACTCTGATTTCTGCCACTGTTTCTGTCCAGTGCACGATATGAGCCTCATTCATGGAACATGAACAAAGCCAATATCTGTAGCAGCCATTTACATGAGAACTTTAGCTCACATAAGACATTCATTATACTTGTCTTTCAGGAACAAGGCCTTAAAGGGACAGTACACCCAAAAATGAAATCATTTACTCACCCTCAAGTTGTTTCATTCTAGTGTTAATTTTGTCAGCCATTTTTAATTCAGTCTTTAATCTTAGTCTGAGTTCTGTGTCAGATGTACTTTTTAGTCATTATCATATTTAGTCAACCTTGTGCTGTTTTTGTTTAGTCAAGTTTTAGTCGACTGAATGTCTGAGCATTTTAGTCTAGATTTAGTCAATGAAAATGCACATTTTTGTCATGCTGTATAACGGTTAAACTGATTATTGCTCATAATTATATTCACAATGATTGTTGTCATTTGAGAAATTTATTTTTACATTTCAGGTATTGCACTTTCACCAATAAGCTCAAATCAATAGAATGTGAACTCATACACATGGTTTATTTTACAGATTTATTAGGCTATTTAATATATAAATTATTATGAAAGACTTAAGCCCCGTTCACACCAAGAACGATATCGTTTGTTTATTCTAAGCGCACGCGCGTCTGCCGCTTTAAATTCTCGAGCTCGTTACAGCAGGATGGATTCTGATTGGCTGTCGATTTTTTATCGTTCATCAGCTGGAGAAAAAAATCGTTTTGAAAGTGATTCCAACGATATCGTTTCATCTTTATCGTTATAGTTGTGGTGTGGACTCTGCTATTCTTTAATATTGAGAACGATTTTTAGAACTATATCTTTATCGTTCTCTTTATAGTTATCGTGCTTGGTGTGAACGGGCCTTTAGATATGCACTCTCTCTATATATGGAACTTCTATTAGGAATTTTAACAGTAAAATTCCTAATAGCAATTCCAATAATTCCAAATGGCAATGATGTTTCTCTATTAAAACAACAGCGGTTGAGTAAGTGCATTTATTCAGCAAACACAATCGAGTCGAGCTCTCATGACAGAACACAGAATGACTGAATGACACTTTCATTTAAGCTGAACATCTCACATGGAGATCGCTGAACTTTGTCCGTGTTTTCAGATCGTCGTCGGCGCTTCCGTGATGAAGAATGAGTGCGTGCGCATGGGTGTTCATCAACGAACATTTTTCCTCATAGCTTTCGTTAATGAAATTAACACTGTTTCGTTCTTTTGTGGAACATAACCAAACAGTTGCTGGTCCCCATTGACTTCCATAGTATGAAAACAAAATACTATGGAAGTCAATGGCTCCCAGCAACTGTTTGGTTATACCCACATTCTCCAAAATATCTTCTTTTGTGTTACACAGAAGAACGAAACTCATAGAGAACAACTTGAGGGTGAGTAAATGGCAGAAATGTTTTTTTTAGGTGAACTCTCCCTTTAAATGACAAAAAAAAGTGCCAAAATGGCGAGCTTGAGGTCTCTGCAGAGCAAAAGTGGGCGTTTCTGAATTTGTGGGTGTTTTCAAACTGCAGGGTGTTTCTCAATAAAGCAATCAAAATGATCCCCTTTACCTAACCCCACCCCTAAACCTACCGTCACTATGACGTCAGCCAATCAGGAAACATGGTCTAAAACGCCCCGATCTGGTAACTCCCATTACTTTCCTGCAGAGACCTATACTTGAAAATGGCAGATGGCTTAGGGTTACACACCAGAGAAACCTCTGAGCAAGATGTATTTTGAAGGTGTGAAAAGATCTGGTTCAGTTTAAAATCAAGCAGAATTACGGTAAACTTAAGACAGAGTTACAGCAAACATTTGGTCACGTGATGCATGTCACATTTGCATACCTTCTGGTTTTATTTCTACATCCATAATCGCACCATCCACATTGAAAATGGACTGACAGAGCTCTCTGACCCTAGTGTGGACCCTGACCCCAGCAAAACAAAGAACAGAACACACCAGTAGCAAAACAGGAAATAATTTAAGGGAGTATGGTGGCAAACAGAGTGTAGATACAGTATATACAAACAGAAAGCACTTGAGAAAAGACAACAGTTAACAGGGACCGATGCACAGATACATATTTAGCATTCCATGTTAAAAGCTACATGGGAATTTACTTGCATTTATATCAAATACAAGTCATCTTTTGACTTTCTCAAAGCCAGTATTTAAAGATTCTACATTTTCATTTGGCAAATATTCACAATGACACAGCAGGCCTTGTTAAAATAGCACACAACACCCAACAGCTAAAAGGATTTGACCCTTTATGCAAATTCATAAACCTCACCACACTGGGTCAAATATGAAGGGAACTAACACAAATATACCGTTTTTAACTGCGTGGCAATACTGTAAAATAATTACATGCTTGTCTTACACCATTTAAAAGTTTGCTTTTGTCATAGCATTGGCAATACTGGATTTAATGTGGTTTCAGAAGACTTTAGCCATTTTTATCTTGACCTGAGTGACGAATAGAAGAATAATAACCCACAGCCAGCTGAGCTGATTGGCTGAAATGATCTGAAAATCTATTTAAACTACCTGCTTAATCTTGAAGACAGTCACAAGATGAATCTCACAAAAAAAATTTCCAGGTTCAAGTACACTTAGTATATATATATATATATATATATATATATTTGCATTGTATCATTATTTGCATTATTATCTTTTATTATAATTTATTATTACACTTTTAAGCACAAGTTATTTTTTTATTCAAATCAGATTTTTTGCATTATGGTAATGAGAAGTGAAGGGTGTGGAGGTTATTGAATTATGAACATAACACAATGCAATAATATTAATGGTCCTAAAGATGGACTTTTTAAGTAAATGTGAAATATTTGTTTGTTTTTTTCTCTCTCTTCATTTTTGGGCCTTAAATTTAATCAGGACTTGTTCTCGGCAGGTTTCATGAGATTCATCACCACATTTTTGAGAGAATATAACTCTATCAAAAAGAAAAATATATGTTCTAGAACAACATTCGAATGAAACTAGGCAATCAGTCTGTGACTTTATAACGTGAAGGCCTTTCAGTAAATAAGGTACCCATTTAATATTTCCATAATATTTTGGTTGGATCAAGTGGACGACCTCTACAAGCAAGCAATACATTTCAGCTGGCATTGCGTCTTTTACTATGGAGCCACTAAAAGAACACGGTTATGTTAAAAAAATACAAGATGGGGGAAAAATTGTCAATATTTTGCATTCAAGAAAATGTAGATTTGCTCGCAAATGTATTGCGTTGGACCGAAAAAGTTTCATTGACTCACAAAACTCTTGTGCTCTCCCAAGAAACTTTTGCTTGCAAAAGTATTGCACTCCCCCCAAAGTGTTTTTCTTCCCTTCAATCTCATATTATTTCCATCACCAGCTGTGCATTCA